ACCTGTAAAAGTTCTACTAGAGTATAAATACAAGGGTGGGAATGGCTCAAGAAAGGAGATGGACATGCTTTATCCAGTTAGGCCAAATTGTTTTCCAAAGTGGTTGTTCCTGAACATTTATCAGAAATCTGTTGGCAACTGATCTACGTAGGATGGCTGAATTGAGGGAACAGATCAACCACGGAAATTTCTGAAATTGCATTTTTAAAATAGAAAATTCCAAATTCTGATACAACAATGAAAAATACATTTTACTTCTTCACTTTGGATTAGCTGAAATGTACTTTAAAAAACTACATGTTAAACTTAAAAGTGCTGTGTCCTATGTCTTAAAATAAATGTTTCTAAATATACTGAACGAAAACAACAAGATTCAGAACATTTAGTGTATTATCATATATAAAAGACCTATATGTATATGTGTATATATATATGTATATATACACACACACACACATACACACATATATATGTATATATTCATATCCCCCTCACCCCTTTAAAAAAAGAAAAAAAAAAAAAACTTGGAAGAATAAATTAACAGTAGGAGCTTTCTGATCAGAAGGGAAACATAGATCATAGATCACTAACCACTTCTAATGTTAGTTTTTTTTAACCATGTGCAAGCATTACAACTGTAATACAAAATCTCAAAAAAGTAGACATCTGGGATTCTTTGACAAACAACCAAAAATCAGTCAGAAGTCAAACTTGAAAGCCAACCCAAAAGGATGTCCCACCCCACAAAAGTATATACAGGGGTATTGTCTATTTCATGCACATTATAATAATAGATGTTTTAAAACATATTCACATCTCATCTACAATGACTTAAGTTTTAAAAACAGAATGGATGCAAGCTCAAGAAACTTCTACCATAAATTTTTCAGTTTTTATATCTCTAGAAACTAAGGTGGCTGAACTCAACTCATGAGGTCAAAGTGTTTTCAGAATTTGCAAATAGGCTGGTTATGCTCTTCGACATTACTGTATTCAAGAAACCAGACAAATCACCTGCAGGTGAGTGATGCTCTAAGAGAAGTACAGGCAGTCCTTGGGTTACTAATGAGACCTGTCCCTAAGTATGAAAGCTGAATTTGTAGTTAAGTCTGAACAAGTGTATACAGTTCTTATTTAGCCTTATTTTAGTGCAAGAAAAGGCCCAGAGCCTTTTTAATAATTTAAAAGCTGCACACACAGCAAGTGAAGGTAACTGTGATGAAGAATTTGTTGTAAGAGTAGGGGTTAGTTCAATCCTTTCAAATGAGGGCAAATTTATATAATATTAAAGGGCAAGTTGAGAGTTGTCAGTAAGTTGGACGTTCATAACCCAGGGACTGCCTGTGTAAGCTAGGTCATAGGACTGTTGTTACAACTTAAAGATAAGAGACAAGGAATGTGTTTTAAAACTCAAATTAAAAATAAATTATGATAAACATGTTTTAACATGTAGAGTCCATCTCTACAATCCAGAGGAGAGGATGCCTGAGCAGCAGACTGGTTTGCCTGGTCCCCTTGAAAGGCACAATGGAAACAATGCTACCAAACCAGTATCACAGTTTGATGACTGGCAATTAAAAGTTTATCTGAATTGTTATTAAGGAACTGTTACTTTTAAGGAGTCTTTTAGAGATACATGCTGAAATATTTATAGACTGAATGATATATATGAGACTTGCTTCAAAGTAACACAGATGGGGATATACACATGCGCACACATATGAAGACTGGTTGTGAGTATTATTAGTGAGGAGTTAAAGAGAGGTTAATTAGACTGTTCTACTTGTTTTCATTCTAACTTTTCCAAATAAAGTTTTTTAAAAAAGAGAGATCAACTAACTGCTTTAATTTCACGCTTACCTGATTAACTACAACTGGTTCCCCTACAATGCTCCAAACAGAAAATATGCATTAACTTTTTAGTTTGCACGGTAGACATGTGTATTTCTTACAGTAAATTAGCACCTGGCCTCTATATTGTGAGTCTGGTTAGTAGAAGTCAGTTTCTCTTGAGCCAGTTCAATTTTGGGTATAATGAGGGAAAATACAAAAAACAAAACAAAAAAAAAACCCAACTTCTAGATCTCCACAAGTAGGGGGACCAGATCTTAGGTATAGGTGCCCTACAAGGCCAGGTCTTCGTGTCAAATCCTACGTAGTAACAGCAGTGGTTACCGATGGAGCTAAGTATTCAGAGAGAAGCCTAACCATTTATTCACTGACAGTCAGCTGTCAGCTCTAGAGGCAGAACAGGACCCATCTGTCATAAATACATCAATCTAATACCTTAATAAATTTCTTATGTTTTTTGTTTTTCTTAATACTTATTAGTACAAAATGGTAAATTAACATTTTAAGTCCTTTATTCCTATAAACTACAATTTTGTCAAATACACAAAGCAGTGATTGGGAGCTAGCTGACTCTGCGTTTGTCAGGTTGTAGTTCCCATTTTATCTTAATCCTCATGTGAATCATCTCTTATAAATTCAGAGATAACCC